CCCATCAGATTGTATAGCCAGTGTACATAATTTACGTGGTACACTGGTTTGTAACCTAACAGGAGTACCAGAGCATTTAAGGTTCCGAGTTTTGCCCTGTTCAGTCAGCTTACTTCCTTAACATCTGCTTTACTGCAAGAGTAACAGGAAGAAATCACTTTTTTAATTGCAAAACCAAATTAAATAACAAAGTAGTTAGTCTTGAAAGGATGTCAGGTACCCCTTCTAGCACTGTTCTTTGGTGAGTGCCTTGAACCGGATCTGGACCTACTGGCTGCTAAGAGCCCCCACAGCCCGGCCTGGAGCCCTGCCTCAGGACTGACCAAAAAAGTTAAACAGCATGTACTACTTCTGTACCATTTGTTTGGGGCTTTTTATGGAATTTTTCCATTCATGTATGGACTAAACAGCACACTCTTTAAAATAACAACACCTGCCACATTTGTGGCCTGAGGGCACTGTGTCTGCAGGACGATACTGAACACCTTTGCCTTGGTATCGGGCATATTACATACTAAGAGTACTAGCATCAGCAGCGTGTTTAAACCCCAAATCTTAGATTTAGGTGAGATCTCTGGGTCTCGGAGTACTTCAAATATTTAGTTACTATAACATTTGATAATCTGTTTAGGAATATGTGTACCTTAACTTACTTAGCAAGTACTGTAAAAAACAAGTTACTGTTTTTGTAGCAATTAGACCTTTCAAGTACAACCATTTGCAGGCACCATAAAAATTCTTTCTACATGCATCAGTCTTAGTATGTTAGGAGCCTGAAGAGTAGGAATTGCTTCTGAAGTCGACATGCTTCTCTTTTGGACACTTGTGTACTCTGTGTATTTGAATGCAAGCTGAGTATAAATACACTGTATGTACACTAGAGTCTTACTGCATTTAAACATTTGAAAATGTCTTTCAGTTGTTGCAAAAACATTGCTTTGAATACGTTTCTCAAAGTAAAAGAAAATCATTCTGACTATGTTTATGTTTTGCTGGTGGTTGTTTCTTTTCCAATGTTTTTTATCTGTTTTCCCTCCTACTAAGAGCAATAAAGTCGGTCGTGACTTTTGGAGAATTCAGCATCCTCGACAATTGTTGATGGTTGGGGTGGTTCTCTGAAGAATCTTTTAAAACTTTCCCTCCAATTTCTTTTTGATTACAGTCAGGCTGAACTGTAACATTTGAATTGGTAGAATACAAGTCCAGTAAATATTCTGTTAGATTTGCATGCCTGTGTTATTTTTATTTATGACTGCTTCATAAACTGTTGAGTCAGGACTGTTACTTAACATGTAAGTTTTGTTGTTTTCTTTCCTCAGTCTATGTGCAAAGAGGCCGAAACATAGGAGAATGGTTAAATAAAGTGATTAATCATAAAATACACCTGTCTTAGTGATGATGAAAACCTTGATCATTGCATCAGATCCCTGAACACTGTAGAAAAGCAAACTTATTTTTATTACTTTGTATCCATCTTCTTCCTCTATTTAATGTCAAAAATACCCATCAGTAGAGTAAACAAATCTTTTAGACCAGGCGGTTCTGTCTTTTGTTATGCTTTCCTTCTGAAATATAAACATTTCTTAATTTTTTTTTCCTAGCTCTGTTTTGTGATGTTTTGGACGCCAAACGTGTCAGAGAAGATTTTAGTTGACATAATTGGAGTAGACTTCGCTTTTGCAGAGCTGTGTGTTGTTCCTTTGCGTATCTTCTCCTTCTTTCCAGTTCCAGGTAAAAAAATAAGAAAATAACGATCTCTCTAACCTTAAAACCAAACCAACCTTGAGGTGTGGTTGTAGAGCCTGACATGGCTGTATATACGAGAGTGGCTAAATGCATGCCTATTGTAAGTAATATGGTTTTTAATGAAGCTGGTGTAGACCAAGACTATTTACATGGGTAATCAAGATACAAATGTTGCAGTAAGAGCAGTCTATCATTAGGCAGATTTCTGATTGTCAAAAGTCTGAATTCTGGCTCTTGTAGCTGACCAAGAACACAGACATGAATGGCAGTAGTGATACATGCATGCCAAGACTGAAATGAACTCTTTGGAACAGCATGTGATGATCATGATGATCCAAGGGCTGGAGCACCTCTCCTATGAGGAGAGGCTGAGAGAGTTGGGGCTGTTCAGCCTGGAGAAGAGGAGGCTCCAGGGAGATCTTATTGTGGCCTTCCAGTACCTAAAGGGGCCTACAGGAGAGCTGGGGAAGGACTTTTTACTAGGGCATGTAGTGATAGGACGAGGGGGAATGGCTATAAACTGGAAGAGGGCAGGTTTAGATTAAACATTAGGAAGAAGTTTTTCATTTTGAGGGTGGTAAGGCACTGGAACAGGTTGCCCAGAGAGGTTGTTGAGGCCCCATCCCTGGAGGTGTTCAAGGCCAGGCTGGACGTGGCCTTGGGCAACCTGGTCTAGTGAGGGGTGTCCCTGCCATGGCAGGGGGGTTGGAACTCGATGATCTTCAAGGTCCCTTCCAAGCTAAACCATTCTAGATTCTATGATCTAGGACCAGCTCCACAGTAACATTACCTCCATTAATCTCCCCTTCTGCTGCCAGACTCAGTGGCACTTTCAAGTATCATCAGAGCATAAACAATATAGAATACAAGTTAATGCTCCTTTTCAAGAGAGAGACAAGCTTGACAGCAGTAATCAAAATGTTTACCCTCAAAAAATTTCTAACTTCCGTAATCAAATGGTGCATCATGTAGTGTTTTCTGCTTGTATGACAAGACAGTTTTGTAATAAACATAAGCTCCAAATATAAGAATAGGTACATGTAGCTATCTTTTTTTGTGCCTGGCTGTTACAGCATATGCCACACAGCAGTTAGATAGAAAATTTTCCTTGGTATGATTTCTCTAGGGAAGGGGATAGTGTTTTTTTTAATGAAGAAAACAGAATGGCTCATCTAATAAATTGGTTTTAAGAGAACAGCAGTTAGGAAGGATTGCTGTCCATAACTGGCTTTTGTTTCTTTTTTCAAAAAATCAGTATTTTGGACAAGCAATTTGGACACAAGATCTGCTTTGTTTCTGGTAGGGTTTCCCAGTGTGCAAAGTTACCAGAAACAAGTTTTGCCATGGCTGTTTCTGAACAGTGCTCTCTGCCTGAAAAAGCTTCATATGAGATGACTGATATTTTTTTACTCCTTTTGCCTCCCTTTCTCCCCATCCCCTCCCCTTCCTCTGTTTATGAACAGTGACTGTCAGAGCGCACTTGACTGGTTGGCTGATGACTCTAAAGAAGACATTTGTGTTGGCACCCAGCTCAGTGCTGCGGATTATCGTCCTCATCGCTAGTCTCATTGTGCTGCCTTACTTGGGGTAAATCATTCTCCTCTCCACAGAGCTGATGGGTTTGCTTTCCTCTTCATTCCTGTTTCCTGTCACTTGATAGCTGAATTTGCATATCTCAGAACCTTTTCCCCAAATACTAACTGTAATACAAAGCCTAAATAATGTCAGTATCTGGAAAAGAAACATCTATAAATTTACAAGTGTGACTTTGCTCTAGGCAGGCATGATAATGATGACCCTTTTGAAAAAATTTGCAAATGCCAGAGAGGTGAAAACGTGTCCTAAGGGGAATTTATTTCCATTCTATTAAATGGACTGTTAAGAAAGCTAGTGGAAGAATATCTTGTTTATAAGTTAAGTAATCTATTCTGCAGCACTCTTCCTCCATAATTTGATTCAGAATGTGTTTCTTTTACTAAACAGTGAAGCCATTAAGAAGCAAAAAAAGTCCTTTAAAATACCCGTTATTTTCTTTGCCAGTGTATTATGTCTTTGAAGGAAATATTTCTAACAACAGCTTGATTCTGTATGCCAGTGGAAATTTAATTGAGTCACATATTCTCACACAACCATGACTACTTTCTTTTTATGCCGCCCACAGAGTTCATGGAGCTACGCTTGGAGTAGGATCCCTTCTAGCTGGTTTTGTAGGAGAATCCACCATGGTTGCAATAGCAGCCTGTTACGTCTATCGGAAACAGGTAAGAATTAGGCTCTGCGGGATCTGGTGAAAGCAGTTGATAAATATAGCGAATTTTAGTTCAGACCGAGAGTATGCTTTTGAAATGTGCCGCCCCAGCATCCCCACTTACTGAATTTGGTTTGCTTTCACGTGCAGTTTCAAGAGTGTGCAACTTGGGAATTCTTTGGGTTGAAATAAAACCAAAAGGGGCCCTTCCACTGCTAGTGGGCGTTCAGGCCATGGGACTCAAAACGTGTATCATGGATATCATCACCTTACCACCGCCTGTTTTGCACCGTAGACCTGCTACTACAGTACAACGTAGCTTTTTTACGTAGACATAGGAACGACTCGTCCAAGTTTATAACATGTACAAGTACATGCACTAAACTTGGACGAGTCGTTCCTATGTACATGTGTGTATGTATATGTATATGTATACTTTTATTTCTTTATAAAACCAGCTCTGTTGGAAATGAACAAAAAGTACAGTTGGTTTTTTTGGGTTTTTTTCCATCTGGCTTAAAACAAGATATACTCCTGCAGCAGTAGAGGATAAGATCTTACAAATACTTAAACAGGCAAAGATTTCTCATAGGCATACTTCCACATATTTCACACAATACAGTCGTACATATACAGAGTAGTAGTGATACACGAATTTCAAAGAATATTCCACTAAATTAAGTCAAACGTAGGATAAATATTGCCTTGGTGACTGGGTACATCCCAGTACCTGTGCGTTGTGCCCTTCCAGTTATGTGTCCAAGTCACTGTGTAAGGCAGCAGGATCGACTCCAAGCAGCAACAGCATGGTGTCTACATCATTCCATGGTACAGAAGGACTCTGTGGATGGAAGCAGAAAATATAATCTACGCATTTACTTCTTTTTTTTTTTTTTTAATTAGATTTCTTACTAAAGGCCAAATGAAGATGCCTACCACTTCTGGTTTTGGCAAAAAAATATGGAGGATGGAATACCTAAAAGCCTTGTGTTGGAACAAACTAAAACCAGTTTTGACAAGTATTAACAGTGCAGGCTACGGCAATAGACCAAAGCCTACAAGGTTCATAAGAAAACAGAAGACCCTGATCTCAGTCACAATTAATCTGTCGTGCTTTTCTTGAGCACCGATGAGAGGAACCTGTAAACTCTGAAATGGCCGTTCTTGGCCTGTGGTTTCACAACATATGTTTGGACGAACCTTCTCATTGCATGTTAGTTACAGTAGTGGCTCATAGAACGTTTCTGGCCAGAAAAACAGTGCTTAACTTTTTGCAGTGATGAGTGCAGGTAGTAGTAGTAATAACTGTGCCAACGTAATTTATTCCTTTACCACAATTAGTATGTAACCGACAGCATCGTCTCAACAACCAATGTGGCGGTGGCGGAGCCAACCAGTAGCTGTATACACCAACTTGTTTTCACCTATACAGTGGTAATAAGTGGGCAGTGTTTGAGAGTGTTGTGTAGACGCCTCTGAAATTTTGAAACTCTGATATGCCCAACTCAGCTGAATCAATAATACCTGTGGGGGATTTTTTTGTCAGCTGTACAAGTGTTTTCTGTAAAACTAGTCAGCCTGCTGAGAAATGGGTAATAAGGAACAGATGCTTCTACTTGTTTTGTAGTGGGGCTGAATGCTTCTTAGCTTTACTAATCCAGGACATCCTGGATGAATCATAGGACTCTTGATTGCCCTCCTGCTCCTGCTAGCCAAAAGTACTCTAATATTACTTGGCCCCGGTGGGGTGGGGGATTGCAGTGGATCAGCAATATCAAGAAAAGCCAAAACGCTCACATCTTGTAAACTTCCTGAAGCTTGATGTTTGAGAAATTTGGT